AAACAGAAACCAGAGATGGTATTACAGGTATTGGTGATAACTGATGAGTCCGTTTAAACGATAGAGTTTTGTTATGTTTTGTTTTCTGTAAAGGTATCTGAGCAGAAACCAGAGATGGTAGTTACGGGTATCGGTGATACTGATGACTCCGTTTAAATGATAGAGTTTTGTTATGTTTTGTTGTCTGTAAAGGTGTCTAAACAGAAACCAGAGATGGTATTACAGGTATTGGTGATAACTGATGAGTCTGTTTAAACGATAGAGTTTTGTTATGTTTTGTTTTCTGTAAAGGTGTCTAAGCAGAAACCAGAGATGGTAGTTATGGGTATCGGTGATACTGATGAGTCCGTTTAAACGATGGAGTTTTGTTACGTTTTGTTTTCTGTAAAGGTGCGGAGTGCGGGGCGGCTGATCCTGGCTCAGAGGGCCTGTGACATTTGGTCCTTGCTTGGCTCATGTGCACAAAACAGCCACCGCTGCTCCAGGCACCACATCTTCCCCCCCTTTGATCAGAGTAGAGGACACAAAGGATGGCTCCTTTATCGCCTCAGAAAGGAGCCCTGGTGGCCCCTGGTGAAAGCTCTCAGCTGCTAATGAGGTCAGAGGTTCCAACCCACCGAGTGGCTCCACAAGAGACAAACCTGGGGCTCTGTTTCCATCAGAGTCTCAGCCATGGAGACCGACCCCGTGGGGCAGCTCACCTCCATCATGTGGGGTCACTGTGAGTCAGAATTGGCAGCAGTGGGCTTGGCATGTTTTTCTTTTTGTTTTTGATGGCACGCAGGACTCCGCAAGTAGAGCAAACTATTAACACACAAGGCCAACTGAAAGATTGGGGGTTCAGGTCCACCCAGCGTCGCCACTGGAGACTGGCGATCTTCTCCCATAAAGATGACAGCTAGGAAACCATATGGGGCAGTTCCATTCTCTCACATGGGGTCACTGTCAGTCGGGATTGACTGGGGCAGTTCCGTTCTGTCACAGGGGGTCACCGTGAGTCGGGATCGACTGGAAGACAGCTAACAAGACAACACATTTCTCAGAAGCCTCCAGCAGTCTTTATCTCAGACCCCTGTGGCCACCCCTGAAACAGTTGCTGCCAAAGGCAGTGCGTTTACCAGGCGGGCCCAGTGCTCTCTTGGAGCTCGGGGAACAGGGTGCCTCTGAGCTCTGCGTAACAAGGGGCAGCGTCTTCCGCCACCGAGGGGTGTATGGCCCGCAGGACGGCACGGATGGCCAGGAAGCCCGACCTCTGTCTCCCTTCCCTTAGATGCGCTGCAGGCGTCGGCCCAACAGCGACCGCGTCTCCCTTCCCCTTGAGTCTGCAGCGCCCGGCACAGTGCCTGCTTGCACCGAACAGCTGGCCCACCCTCTGTTGTCCGCGTGCCTTCAGGAAAAGCCTGAGCCGGGCGAGTGGGAGCACGTCCCAGATTTGCTAGTTCGATGACCAGGCTCAGTGAAGACATTAGCAGATACAGAAGCCTTTACAGAGAAGAGAGGTCAACGGAAAGTGCGTTTATGAAATGGAGTTCGCTTGCAAGGCTGGGTCTTACCACGTCTGAGTGGACGTGGAGCAGTTGCCACTTCCTTCCCCAGGGCTTACGAGCCACCCATCTAACCTGCGAGGGCAGCATCTTCCCAGGGACTGGCGTGAAGGCCTCACAAATACGTAGCCCTTGGAGTCCAACTTCCTCCTTCCTGAAAATGAGCACCTGCCTCTGGCGTGTGTTTCGGTGGCCGTCACGGCTCAGGCATTTCCTGTGGGGATTTCCTTGATGACACGCCATTTCCTTCCCTGCTCCCAGACTTGCCCAGACCTGAGCTTGTCTGAACACTTGGCCACGCTCACTCTCCTTCTCACCTATTACGAGCATCTTGGGCCTTTTAACTCCATGGGGTCCTTCCTTGACTTCTGAAAGATCAGTCTTAATAGAAAAACTGGAAGCAAAGGGCTTGGTGCCTGTTACTGCATCAAGCCATTGTACCTTTTTCTTTTATTCACTTTTCCTTGCGATTGGGTGGAAGTGTACAGGGCACACTGGTTTTCCATTCAATAATTCTTACGTATTTTGTTTCGTGACATTGGTTGCAGACCCCTCAATGCAAGGGCTCTCTTCCGACTTCCTCCCAGCGGTTTGCGTTTCCGTTTGTCCGTCTTTTCCGTCCCTTCCTCCTTTGGAGCTCTATCCTGGGTCAGACACTGCCCTCTTGATCTCGTAGGTTGGTTGTTCTGAGGAGCATGTACTTCCCAATCTGTCTTTGGCTGAAAGTTGAGCCACCGGGGTGAGTTCAGTTCCCAGCCTGAAGGGTGTCTAAGGGCCGTAGTCTCAGGGGCTCCACCAGTCTCTATCAGACCAGTGAGCCTGGTCTTTTTTAGGATTTTGAATTTTGTTCCGCATCCCCCCACCCCACTCTACTCAGGACCTCCTAGTGTGACCCCCGTCAGAGTGGTCAGCAGTGGTAGCTGGGCACCATCTAGTTCTTCTGGTCTCAGGGTCATGGAGGCTGGAGGGCACACAGTCCATTAGACCTTTGGGCCAAGTATTTCTCCGTGGTTTTGATTTTCTTCATTCTCCTTTGCTTGAGATGAGGAGCAATCTATAGTTGCCCCTTACAGGCCTGTTTGCAAGCTTTTAGGACCCCCGTCACTGCTCAGCAAAGGAGGACGTAGAATGGTCTTTGTGGACTGTGTTGGGCCAGTTGACGTAGCCGTCCCCCTGGACTATGGCCCTGAACCCCAGGCCTGTGGTGCAGCCCCTCAAGGTGGTGGGTCACGGCTGAGAAGTCTGCGTGAGTCTGGCCCCGTGTGCAGCACTCTCTACATTCCTGCTCCATTTACGTATTTGCAGCATATGTCAGTACAGACGTAGCAACAGCCTCTGTCAACCCTAAATGTATTCCTGGCCATCGTCCCCTTCCCCTTCCCACCGCTATGCACTTTGTGTCTACATGTCCAAGCCATCGTATCTTCAAACACCCTTTTGTTGTCCTTGGAGTGTCTTCCCCGACTCTCACCTCCTGCTGCGTTTCCTCTTAACGTCCCTACAGGCTCTGTCTTGCGTGTTTCCTGAGTGCCGTAGCCTTGGAAGCAGCAGATGGAGATTGGGGAAAGGGCTGAGTCTAGGTTTAGCCTTGCTGCTTACAAGCAGTAATGAGGCCTGGCACAGAGTAGGCTTTCAGTAAGTATTGACGGGCAGGATTAGTGACACATGGCAAAAGGGTGACATTGTCTTGTGCTGCAGAATGCAGAGACGTTCTCGGGATCTCTTGAGATAGAGAGCGTTCTGAGCCCACACATTTCCTGTGCACATGTGTACCTGCATGCACACACACAGAGATACATAGATGATGGATAGATGGTGGCTAGATAGACAGACAGATGAGAGGGACAATGAGATGGACAGATACGTGATAGATGGTGGACGGATGGATGGACGGATGGGTGGATGGGTGGATGGATAGAAAAGGGTGGGTGGATGG